GTGCTGTGGTTCAATGTAAAATGAGCTCAGCACAAACCTTCGCGCTCACGGCGCAAAGCATGCTTGAAACGCAGGATGTGGCCTGCAGACCAAGTTGATTGGTTTCTCCGAGACACAACTACAATGTGGTCATCCGCATTCGAAGTTTTCAAAGGCATTGCCTCATTCCCATGTAAATCTACTTACTCTGTTGAAGAAGGGCTACCTTCGAAACTTAAACCAAAGACCTCGCGACTCAAAAGAGCAAACCACGCGTTCAAAACAGCAAAACACATGGCACATGACATGACTTGGCTTCAGCCTGGCTTGGCGTGGATCATTCTCAGCATCTCCTCCACATCTTTGGGATCGGCTTCGATCAGGTCTTCGAGAGTGTAGCCTTGCTCTTCAAGCTTTTCCCCGTACTCCTGCCCAATGGAACGGAATAAGACTCCCACACTCACCAGACAGCATATATAATTCTTTAATATGTTTCCTATCAGCCTAGTTATTAAACCTTACCAATCATGGAAGCGTTCCTTTTGCCGAACTGCCTCCAAACCATTCTGCTGCAACCAACCTGCCAAGCGCGGAGCTGAGGTGTTCTCATCAGGGCGACCATAATCGACATCCCGCTGTGCATGCATGTCAGCTGGACAGCCACACGCATCGCAAGCAAGAAGTCCTTCATCATTGAGCAAGGTGCAAGTCGGACACTGCCATACGGAGGTATCAATCAACTTCTCCATATAGTTCGTCCTCATTGGTGCCCGAATCTCATCCGATGCATCCATTTTCTGAGCTCGGTTCTCCTTTCCTTAGTCAAAGGAGAGAAACGTCCCCGGAATCCAACTCGGACCGGAAGCCAGACTGGCCTTTCTCAGACTGGAAAAAGGGGTGAGAACAGGTCGAAAACACTTCAGAATCCAGACCAAGCACAGACTGATGATCCATCATGATCTCTCCAGATGATCAAATGTGTGGAAAAAAAACACACCATCAAGGAAGACAAATATAACATAATATCATAACATAAGGATAACCTATCATAACATGACATTACTGCACCCGGTACAGGCAGGCGCCATCGAATTGGATTGATTTCCATGTATGTCAATTAGGAATTGTTGTTTCCTTAAAAATCTGGGAACCAAATCATTAGTGCGAGTGCTTCTTCAAGCTTCCCTCGCCGCCTTTAGGGCGGCAGAAGGAGTTTCCTTGAAGAAGCGCGAGCTATCCTACGTCCATACTAGTAGCTTAAGAAAAGGTACTACTAGTAGCTACCTCTCCTTGACTTAGGGAGGATGGGGAGCGGGCAAAACCAAAAAACGGTGCGGTGGAGCATCCCCAAGAGCCAGACTCCACTTTTCGAAAGGTCGTCACGAGATCTTGGTCCAGCAAGCAGAACTTCATCAGACCAACAGGTTGAGAAGCTGAAGCTCCTAAGCCGAGGTTCAAATGACCACGAGCGACGTAATACAGTTGAAAAGGCAGCCAAGAATCGCCAAGACACATCTTAGTCCTTTTTTAACACATGAAATGAAGATGTACATCCGGCAAACCGTTGACCTGGTTTTCTTCTTGTTTGCCAACGTTTAGCCGTTTTGTTGAAATTTGAAGTACAGTTTGCGATTGGGATTCACAAAGTGTCTCTCACCATCGCCGAGTGGCGTTTGGACTCGCGCAACTCTGCGATCCACTCAGCCTTAGGAGCGAAGCCGGCGGAGCAATAGTTGGGAGTCCTGTGGTTGGTTTGCCGACGCCGATACTGCTTGGCCCAACAGCGGACGAATCCAGAATCCAAGAAGAAGAAGAAGAAGAACAAGAACAAGAACAAGAAGAAGTAGTAGTAGTAGTAGTAAGTCGTAAGTAGTAGGAGTAGTATGTAGTAGTAAGTAGTAGTAAGTAGTAGGTAGTAGTTAGTAGTTAGTAGTAAGCAGCAAGTAGCAAGTAGTAAGTAGTAAGTAGTAGCAGTAGTAGTTTTCTGCACAAAGAGCCTGCCCCCAGAACCAAACAAATCAATGAGTCAATCGGATGTGTACATATATATGGCACAAAAAAAAAAGAACTGAAGGCGGCTTTGGAAAAAAGGCCAGCCAGGCCACAGGAGCATCTCCTTGCTTTTTCAAGATCCCTTCCAGAGGTCCAAGCTGACCCAATGGCGGGCCACGGAAGTATAGACCGTCGGCGGTGCGACTGATTTGATACTCCATATACTGCCCGCGCCATGCACCTTGCAAACTTTGAGAAAGTGAAGTTGCTGACAGTCTGAGAGAATCACAAGCACCCGCAGCACTCCAATAGCTCTGCTGGGGCCAACACTCCACTAGTCCAATGTTTGGGCAGTCCAGTTGAACGACCCACCAAATCACCAGCCGTTTGGATCCCAACAAAAGGAAGCAGATGAGAAGAAAAAAATGGTACCTCCAGTTGGGGTGAAACCGCCCAGTGGGTGGGTCAAAACACCAGTTCTGTGTTGGTAAAACCCCAACCAGGTTTCTTTAAATAAACCTTTGGTCGGCATATGTCCCTCGCCTGCCAAGGCATCGTTGTAGTTGGTGGCGAGTCCTGTAGCTGGTGACCTGAACAAATTATACCAGCAACTTATCTTTAGTAGTGCTCATGTGGATGTTACTTGGTGTGGGGAAGGGCATGAACAACATATGACTACATAAGCAAAAAAAACGTGTGCTTCCTGTGTGTTTCTACCACGGGGTGATGTCATCCTTGCTCGCTGCTGCTCGCTGCTTTCAACATGCTGTACCTCTAGAACATCTCAACATTGAACAAAGCATTTAGGCCATTGAAGAAAGACCCACAAGGGGTGGTGAAAGGGCCGCCATAGCTCGCCAGCTCCCTGCAGCTGCAGGTCCCTTGAGAACTCGTTCAAGGTCCATAGACCAAAGCAAAAAGGCCAAGAGATGCTCAAGGACAAAAGAATGTCATGTGTTTTTACCCCAGACAGCGCCGCACCTTTCAATTTGCTCCGTTTCCCAAGCTTGCCAGCGCAAACGTTTGGCATCGTTCACGCTCTGATCGCGAATGGCATCCTTCTGCTGCCGTTCACGCCTCAGCTTCCATTTGCAGCTTTGACAACAACACCGAACTGTAGCTCCAACAAGGGCATCCTGATTCCAAATGGGCAGGACGGAACAGCAGTTTTATCAGCAAGGGCAACGCCTTGTTCTAGGAACTCCAAAAGAAACAGTGCTTACACTCCCACTCACTAACATGGACAATGGCCACTGGGAAGACCATTTTCCTCTACAAACAGGTGGTTTTCCACTTCCATGTTAGTGAGTCAGAGGGTAGTTCGACTATTGCAAGTCCCACGACACAAGGCCCTGATCCTCTCTTCCTCTTTTTGAACGCGTGCTTGTCGTTTCTCCTCCTCTGCCTGTCGCTTCTCCTCTGCCTTACGAAGACGTGGATCTTCACGCACGAATTTTCTTTGCCTTGCTTCAGCCATTGACAATGTATTGTCTGACCCCAAGACATGACTGCCACCAGAGAGTGTAAAGCTCCGACCAACTTCGCGCTTCCTTCCATGGCATCAACAAACACAAGCACCAAAGAAGGTGTCCATCCCCCAACCCCCCTCGCCTGTGAGTCAAACAGCAACAAAATATGTGTATAGATATATATATATATTTATGTTATATATACATATATGAGTGTCGGACAATATTACTTAGTACCCGCAAAGGACGTTTGTAATTTGGGTGGGCCCCTATTGGTTTTCAGGTTTTGGCATCTCTTTACATGTATTTTGGTGGTACCCTATCGGTCTCAGGTTTTCTTATACCTGCAACTCTTTTGGGTATCGGCTTTTGGTAGGCCATCACCCATGTTAGAGGGTATCGGTTTTGGGTGGGCCCTTATCGGTTTTGCAGTCAAATCACTATTAAAAAAAAAAAAAAAAACGATGTCCAGCCGAAGACTACTGCTGACTCACAGTAATTCTGTCGGGTACTCATATGATCTCACAGATGATTCTATGGTTGAGGCGATGTTCAACTACTATGTATCACTCTTTTGGGGGACATGATGGCATGATCCATATCTCTTCATGATTCACATCTCTTCATCCCAAAAATGCGACGCCAAGTGTCTCAGCAATCAACTGTGCATACTTCTCTTCCTCTCTCCGTTGCAAATCTCTAACTTCTGCATGAACATGTGGCACAGGCCCTCGCATTGAATATCCATCTACACGAACCCACTCCCTTTGCTGTCTTTGACTCGCTTCTCGCATTTCGTCATCCATCTCTTCCGGCCGCCCATGGCGCCCATCGTTCCGACCATGGCTGCGGCTCGGCTCCGACATGCCGACGGCCACCCGACGGCGACCGGGTCGCCCGCGGACGGACTGTCGCTGACCGAGCCAGAGCGGAGGAGAGTCGATTAAAGGACCGGGTCGGACGGACGGTGCGGAGGTGAACAGATCTCGTCTGAAGCTTTGAGAAACATGTGAAAACCGTTTGGTTGAAATATGTTGACATTGAACACCTCGCCAAGATGTGCAGAATGTGATCGTTCATTGTGGCTGTGGGATCAAAACTGTGCGGATGGTGGGCACAATTCACCAAACTGGGCATTGGGACACCTACATGTGGAAAGCTATCAAATCAGGGTATATACTTGTCGACAGCGGTCTTGACACATGGGACATCTCTTCTTGTCACTGGTTTCCAGCTGGTCTAGAGAGCCGTCAAGTGATTCAAGCTTCAGTGAACTTGATGTCATGGTCAGTTAATGAAACTCAAGCAGCGCTTGTTGGCATGGAGGACGGCATGGAGGACTGGACATAACAGCTCTTGAGCCTCTTGAGCAGTTGCTGATCGTTTGTAGGAGTATGTAGATGCTATAGTGGTGTCCTATCATTCTCTGTGGCTCTGGTTCCCAGGCGAGTGCACATCCTGCCAATCCATCGGATGGCACGTCACGTTCTTTTCAGTGCCCGAAAAAAAATATTAAAAAAAGAACCGGACCGTCTCGTCTCCGTCGTTGGGACCCACGACTGGGGCGATGGTCCGGCGGCTTGGAGCGAATCTCCTCGATGGGCAAGAAGTATCTGTTCAAAGGCGTTGTCCTTATCGCCATGACACGAGACATCACCACTGGGAAGAAGGACGACTCCCCAGTCAGAAGGAAAAGAGAACAGCAGCAAGGACACCGGTTTAGCTGAAACTGTTCCTGCCATGCCAACCCACAAGGAGCAAAGCCTCTGAGGATGATTTTGGCCAGAAATGCTTGGATCTTTGCCTGAAACACTCCCGACTCATGACTATCTTTGAGAAGTCTCCTCCACAGCAGCTCAAGTTCCTCCTTCGCGAGAAGCAACCTCAGAGCAAGAGATAGTATATATGGTGTCACATTGCCATCATTGCCCTCATTGCTTCTTTCGGGTGTGGCAAATAACCAGTTTGGTCATGACCCAGTTCACCACCCCTGCACCTTCAGTCGAGCAAATCAGAAGGATTAAGCTCTGGGCTCGTCGCCCATTAGGGATACGAGGTTGCCTGCGTCGAGCGTAGCCGCCGTAGCCTGCACTCAAAGGTTACAACCAGGGCTGCGACAAAACCGTTCTAAAAGGCCAAGTCTCCGAAAGGAACCGAAGAAACAGAAGCCACTAAGCCGAGGTCAACAGTGTCCGTCGCTTCATGATGGCAGATTGCTGGGTTTCTTTTGCACGCAGGCCACATTCTGGAAGTCCCTGGTCAAACTGGCCAGCTTAAATACTGCATGTTCACCAGGTCGTTGCCGCCATCACCTTTCGCGCACTTTCGGCCTTCATGAAAAGGCTCCCAAAGCCATCTGCGGTCCAAACAGGACCCGTTCTTTGGGCCGTCTTGAGCCTCAAACTGAGATCTCTGCAGTGACCAATTTGGACTCCCTGAGACGGCCTGGCCACTCCAATGAATCTGAAAAACCTGTCCATGCAATCAATCGTCGGCTGCTAGCGAGCGATCGAGGGAGGGAGGGAGGGAGGGAGGGAGGGAGCCTGACCAACGAAAGGAAAATACATCACAATACAATTAACACTACGAATTGTATAATGATCATTTGAGCGGCGGCATTTATTCATTGCTTGACTCGAATACACTATCTATTATGTGAAGGTCATGTCACAGTATCTTGTTTAGACTACTTTAGCAGCAAATCACAGTATCTTGTTCAGACTACTTTGGTGCCAGTGTCATCAAGAAATGTATAGTTTATGTGGGAGCCCTATCTCGTTCACCAGCGATTACTGATGATGTTGGACAAACAAATAGAGCATGCCGTAGACTACATTCCTAAGGAATGAAAGTGGTTGCTCATTTGATGATCTCCATGAGGAAAAATCGCTCCGTTGCTTCCCAATAGCGGCGCACGTGTTCCCCATCTCTTTTTCAGCGGTCTCCTTGGCCGCCTCAGGCCGCTCGATCACCCGAGGTTGGGCCGTTCCATAGCGGCCATAGCGGTGCCCAGCTGTGTCCAAAGCCGTCCAACGATCACGGAGTTTGCGGCAAAGGCGAGCCACGCGTACGTACTGGGTCATGCGCTCACGGGCGGCCAACATTGCCTGCCCGGTGTCCCAGCGGTTCCGATTGGGAAACAGGTGGGAGTCTTTTTTTGGGTTGGACAGGGTGGGTCTGGTCCTTTTGGGGGTCGCAGAAGATCTGGAGTCGGGCACCAGGAATGTTGATGTCTTCCACCACCAAGGGGTTAGCAACGCTGAGTTGTTTCAAGGCCGAAATAAACTTCAACGAGACACCAGGCTTTCTAGGCAGGCACACCAGGTTTGGAGCATCTCGCATCCACCAGAAATCACAAAACCCTTAGTAAGGTTGTTGCTAACTGGCATGACATCCTTAATTTGCTGACCGTAGACGTGCCAAGGAGAAATGGCTCTCAGGCTGGGGGTTCTTTCAGTGGTTGCTGACGCCAGGCATCCGGCTCTGGACTTCAAGCACACTGTTGTTTGGAAAGGGGGCGAGGTATGAAGGGCAGGGCTTGTTAGTTTTCTTGACGGTTTCGGACGGTTTTCATCGTTTGTTTGTATACATGCTTCTGGGAATTGGCTTTTGCAGCATTCTGCATGTTAATGTGCTTTTGAAGGCAATGACGACTTACTTGTTTTCACGAGGTTTTAGAAGCAGCAGCAAGGCAAAGCGCTTTAAAACGGTTGTTGGAGTCAGGCTTCTCTGCTTGATGGCTTCCCAAAGTGGTTTTCAACGCTTGTGCCCATCGTTGATTGGCAAGATTTTGCATCCCTCCAAAGAGCGCAACACGGAAAATGTGTAGGAACCCCGTCAGGTGGTGTGCTTTGATGTCTTTTTTCACTTTGGTCCCTCTATCGTTCTCCCTGGCCATGCCATGACCGCCGGGCCTCCCAAGCACCCCACGACAAGAGCTCCCTGCTGGGCTGCGAGTTCTGAAGTGCATTCAGGACCGCCATAGCATCAGCGGGACCTGGAACGGGCTGAGTTCTGCTTGAGGAGGGTCATGTCACGTCTAAATCTAAGCAAATAGGATAGGCCAATCGAGATTCTATTCTGAGAAGTGTTGAAAAGTCCGGTTCACAGTCCCAACCCCCCAAAACCCCACAGAAGCATCCTGTGAGGACCCATATATGTCACACCCCTCATACACTGGCAAAAACACCTGTGGCATTCCGCAGCTCGTTCATGGCCAACTGGAAGCCGCACTCATCCACCTCTGCTTCCGCGTCTGCTTCCGCGTCTGCTTCCGCGTTTGCTTCCGCTGTCGTGTCGTCCAAAATCTCCACTTCTTCCACCTCCTCGATCTCCACCTGTCCAGCTCCGGAGCTCGATTCGTCCAGTCGGCGTGCTACGAGTCGCTCGCTCCGTACGAGTCGCTCGCGCCGACCCCGTCTGACCCGTCCGACCCGTCCGACCCGCGGGTGACACGAGGAAAGTGTGCTGGAAAGCTCGGAAAGCTCTGAGTCCGGGACGGTCGGCAGAACGGAAGAAGTCTTCCTGGGCTGGATGCGATGGTCAGCGGAGCTGGACGTGACTTGTGGGTGTGTGTCTGAATGTGGACCCTCTCCAAGTATTGTGTTGTCAGTATAACATATCATAAACCAGATGTTGTGAGACTGGCCAATAATATATCAATTTTGGAATCCTCGGTGTTTTGGTGCTTAGCCGATCATCAATAAACATCCAATCTAACCGGAATGTCACCTTCCGATTTCGAGGGTTGCAGTCAGTAATACTTCTTGATCCACCCGCAAGAGGCAAGCAAATGGCGAGGTGTGGTGTGATGACCTTTTAAGATTCAAAACAAAATAAAAAATAAATAGTACATACCCTGTAAGCCTATACCCATAAAAAAGACAGGGTATGATTCCAGACCTCGGGTTTGGAGCACAATGTGCTTGAAACCTCGGGTTTGTATCCGATACCTTGGCTCTTGCCAAGGAACCCTTTCTTTTTGGTGTTGTGTGGTTCCACTCGCCGCCCCGCCCCGCTGCAGCAGGGCGTTCAAACATCGTTCAACTGCAGCAGTGTGGCTCCAGATTAATATTTATATATTTATATAATGTAGACTCTTGATTAATAAAAACCATCCCATTTGGATTTAAAGTCCTCTTCAAGTGGCGGTATTATTAATCAAGAGTCTACATGACAATAAAACAATAAGTGTTCCACCCTTCTCTCCCGGATATCCGATCCCTGTTACCCCAGTGGTTCCGCCGAGTGTCGAGGCGGAACTCGGGCCTTCCTTCACCTGGCTCTCCTGGCGGAAAAAAGCTGGAAATGCACGGGAAGTCCCAAACCTCCGTCGGAAGTCCCAAATGCTAAGCTTCTTTTTTTAACAACTGGTGCTTCAGTGCTTGATCTAAACTCCTTCTTACGGAAAGGCAATTCTTCGCGAAAAGCATGCACGAACTCGCGAACTCGAAAAGATCTGTCGAGAACAGCACAGAAGGCGCTCAATGAACTTAGGCCTTCTGTCGGCCTTTTGATCAACGAATAGTATCGCAAAATGGAACCACAGCATACTAAACAATGAAAAAAAAATACACCGACCGGTCTCCCATCACTATCCGTCACTATCCGTCACCACGTTCCCCACGATCTGCAAGCTCCTCTGTGTGCACCGACTCGGGACCCTCCTGTGGCACTGGCACACGTTCGTGCAGCTTCTGCACGTCTTCCGGCTCGGACGAAGCCCTGGTGTGACCGGTCACTCAGCTGGTCCAATGCGGAAACGTCCAAGACTATCTTCACTTACCTTGTGGCTTTGGGATGTTTTGGATCTTTTTGTGTCCTTTTAAGATCCTTCAAGTTGCAGGCGCTTCTTTTTGCAAAATGCTGGGTTTCTGCCGAGCCACCTGTCATGCTCACCGCCAGATGTCATGGCCGCCATGGCCCGCTCCGCAGCTGCTGAAGACGCTGCCGGCCACTCCTTCGGTGCTGATGCTGCGCACGCTTTGGTCTTGGCCGATGCCTGCCAGGTCGAAAAAAGGACGCTCGACCATCGCTCTTAGGTTGGAGGCCATCGCTCTTAGGTTGGAGGCCATCGCAAGTAGGTTGGAGGCCATCGCAAGTAGGTTGGAGGCCATCGCTAG